CTTCCAGCAGGACTTTGATTTCGATCCCCATGTCGATATGGACATGTTTCCACGCAGCCGCTTAGGACGCATGGCCCATGATCCATTCGCTGACTTTGGTGCCTCACGTAAGCGTAGTAGTTTACATGATCCCCCCTTTCATTCTGATGTTTTTTCTCGTTATTTTGATGATGATCCAGACTTTGGTTTCCCCCAGTTCAACTCGCTGGGCCGTCGTCGTGTCAACAATCCACATCACGACGAAGATTTCTTCAATCGTTTGCCCACTGAGTTCCGTCAGTACATACCGGAGGGTTTTGGCCATCGTCGTGCCACCACCGGTGGAATGGCGCCCAACGTACATCCACAACAGATGCCGCCACAGCCACAGCAGACACAAATGCCACCAACACCACAGCAGCAGCAAATGCCACCGCATTACTATCAAACCATGCCAATGCCGCAGTCACCATCGAAGACGGTCTGTGATGCTGCCATCCAAACTGAAGATCCAAATGCCGGACGTTCGGAAGTCGATCATGCTGTGAACACCGAAAATCTCAATCAGCATGGTCTGCGCAACACCATGGACATGGGTGTTAAGTCAGCTGTTGAAAATGAGCCGGCTGGTGCCAGGTCACATTCAGCTCCACCCAGTGAACCACCACAGCAACAACAGCACATCTATCATCCCCAGCAACAGGTGCCGGTAAATGGACAACGTCAAACACCTCCCATGCAACAACCACAACCCCAAATGAGACATCCCCAGTTCGGCACACAAACTAGTCCCCCGGTCCAGAAGGCCTACTATGCTCCACAGGCCCAGGCACATCCCCAGCAAAAGCAACAGACACCACCACCACAGACTCCCGGTGGCACATACATACGTACCATACCGATATTCGTTGAGGGTCGTTCCGAGCCCATTATCAACAACAGGGACATACCCAATCAGAATGCCACACCCAGCTCTGGCTCTGCCTCGGCCCGGGCCTTTACACCACCCAAACAACAATATCAGCCACAGTCACCTTTCCAATTCCCACAACCTCAACAGGGTCAGGCCCAGCCCCAGGGTGGCCAGCAGCAGCAACAACAACAGCGTCCCACACCCATCAATACTCAACAGCAGCCACAACAGCAGCAAAACACAGGTCTGCCACCTCAAACTCCCCACACCGTGGACTCCATCAACAAAATCCAAGATATACAACGTGATGTCCTGGAACTGATGACACGCGTGGAGAAATTCACTGGCACCCGCAGTGACAAGGAATATGCCTATTTGGATGAAATGCTGACGAGAAATCTTCTGAAGCTAGACAACATCGACACCAATGGCAAGGAGAGCATTCGTTTGGCCCGCAAAGAAGCCATCAAATGCATACAGGCCTCCATCAATGTATTGGAGGCCAAGGCCGAGGAAAACACCAAGGCAGCTGAGCAGCAGAATGGCTCGGACAGCACACCACAGAAAAGCTCCTCGGGCAACAAAGTAACCAAAGACTCTTCACAAAGCAAGTTGGAACAGGCCGACGAACCCGTCGATGCAAACAAGATACAAGAACCCATACCACTGCCACCACCCGAGGGCATGGTGAGCGAAAGCAAAACCGAAACACCTGCAGAAGCCAATGTCACAAAACCCGAGGAGGAGGAGAGTAAAACGGCCTCAGCGTCAGCTGAAACAGCCACGGCAGAAACAAAAGAGGAGACTGCGGAAAAAGCCAGTGAGGCTGCCGCACCAGCCACTGCTGCCGCTGCTGAAACCAAATGATGATTGGAGAGGAAACTATTAGCCCAGAAAACCACAACCAGCAACAGTCGGAGCAGAAGTAGTAGCAGCAGCTCCTACAGGAAGGCAACTATTAAACAAACCACAATTTCCAAGCAATCTCAACTCAAGTAATGAAAGAGGACGTCCCAGGAGAGCAGAATGATTGGATTGGTTTTGGAATGACAAAGCACAGTGGCATAACTTTGCAGAATTGAAGTTGATTTTCCTTGGCAAAAATAAAAACAAAAGAAAAAAATTAAATAAATAATGGCGTCCAACAAAACGAAATTAACGTAAATTAAGCAACACAAAAACAACAACAACATTATATTAATTAACTATTTATTACAAATTTATAATAATAATAACAACAACAGCAGCAATAAGCGTAGCGTCCCGCTTACTTACATCCTCCCCTCCCAGGAAAGATAACCCTAGCTGTAGTCTGAGAAAACAAAAAGCATTGGCTTGAAAGTTCTAAATTTAGAAAACCATGTAACATGATTGGTTTTGCTGTTCTGTTTTTGTATTCCTAGACAAAAATGCAGAATTTTAAAGTGCTTTATCGTAAAGAAGTAAAAAAGAAAACAAAAAATAGAATCAAAATTTAGCAATAAAGTGCCTATAACTCTTATGATCTTTTTTCTATATACATACATACAAACATACATAAAAATATATACTTAGACGATTTCTATAGAGAAAGAAAGTCGGTGTTTCTTTCTGATTATTGTAGTTGTAAGGCTTTGATTATTAAACATTTATTTCAAATAATGCAAATTTTCTGTTTTTGTTGCAAAGAGAACCAGGCAATGAGCTTGGCCTCCCAAAGGGATCTTTGCAGCCATTGAATTACTTAAGGGTCCAAAGATCCCAGGCGAGGCCAAGGCATTGCATCTGCTCTGATCTTTTACCTCCACTAAACTATTTAAAAATTAATTGTTTCTAATGCTACTTCCATTTCGATTTCAATCAATTACTTGTTGTCTACTGTCTTTTTTTGCGTTTCTTATTTTAATGCCATTTTATATTTATTTTTATTTGATAACAAAACGAACGCAATCGATGATCTAGGAATTGATTAAATTGCCTATTCTGTTTCTTCTTTTTTGTTTTGTATTTGTAATGTAGTAGTCGTTTTTTTTCTTTTTTCTTGTGATTTTAAGCGATTCGATTTGTCACGTATTGCATACGATGATAATGTTATTTATAGAATTAAAATAAAAGAAAAAAACATTTGAAAATCATCTAAATATAATTAAAATAAATTTAGATTTAGAAATAAATACAAAAAAAAAATCACTAAAAATACAATGTGTGACAAAAACAAAAACCCCGGCAATAAAAAACGGAAATATTATTTGTTAAAAATTATAAACAATAAAAAAATACTACAAAAAAATAATGGTTTTGCGTTACTTTTACTTTTTTATAACAAAAAAAAAAACAAAAGTACTTTCCAAAAAGGTAAGGAAATGGAATTCTAATGGGGAACCCAAGGTACAATAGAATAATGCTCTGTTCCAGAACCTGCAAAAATTTACTAGTTTTGTAATTTTTCTCGTTATCAAATGAAGAAGTAAACCAGTAAAAAGTAAAGCAGTAAATTCGTCCCAGCCCAACTTTGAATACCCTCCACCATTTAGAAAGAATTTGGAAATTTTCAAAAAAAAATCTGTAAAAAATTCTCTTAAAATTTCAAAAATACCGTATAACCTTTGTAATAAGCCATTACAATATTCAAATACGAAACTTGGAAAAAAACAGGTGAATAATGTAGCTAAAATCATCAGAGCTATACGAAGACCTGAACCTGCAAAGAAAACTTTCTGTCAGAGGCTGTAGTACCTATTAGGAACTTCAAATTGGAAATTTCAAACAATTTCCGTGAATTTTGTACCTAAAATCGCCAAAATACCGAATATACGCAGGTACTGATATATGGAGCCTATACGACCTGCATAGAAAATTTACTGTCATTGACTGTAGTTACCATTACGAACTCTAAATAAGAAATTTAAAACAACTCCGGTGAATAATGTCGCTAAAATCATCATAATATATATATAATATTGGGTGGTACCGTTATATGGAGGCTATACGAAGACGTGGGCCTGCATACACAATTTTTTGACATAGGCTGTAGCACTCATTACAAATTCCTAATCCGAAATTTGAAACAACTCCGGTGAATAATGTCCTTAAAATCGTCAAAATATCGAATTTCAGAGGGTGCATGTGGGCTATACAATATCGGGGAATATCGATCATGCTGTGAACACCGAAAATCTCGATCAGAATGGTCTGCGCAACACCATGGACATGGGTGTTAAGTCAGCTGTTGAAAATGAGACAGCGGGTGCCAGGTCACATTCAGCACCACCCAGTGAACCACCACAGCAACAACAGCACATCTATCATCCCCAGCAACAGGTGCCGGTGAATGGACAACGTCAAACACCTCCCATGCAACAGCCACAACCCCAAATGAGACATCCCCAGTTCGGCACACAAACTAGTCCCCCAGTCCAGAAGGCCTACTATGCTCCACATCCCCAGCAAAAGCAACAGACAACACCACCACAGACTCCCGGTGGCACTTACATACGTACCATACCCATATTCGTTGAGGGTCGTTCCGAGCCCATTTTACAATATCGTAGACCTATACGATAAATACTCAGAAGGAACTTCTTTTGTGGATTTTCAGACAATTTTATTGTAACGGGGTACCGTTATATGAGGGCTATACCATATCGTGCACCGATATCTTCGAACTTAACCTGCCTGCAGACACAAGACTGATCTATGCAAAATTTTAGCTTCATATCTTTATTCGTTTTGGCTCTAGGGTGACGGACGGTCGGACAGAGCTATATTCACAGGAAATAGAATGTATAATAAACTCTAAATTCCGAATTTTAAGCTATTCCGCTAGAAACTGAGGCTCAAAGCATAAAAATACCGAATATGGGGACTATATTTAAACGCTGACTGTTATAACATATCTTCGAACTTGACCTGCCAGCCGATAAAAAGACAACTCTATGCAAAATATTACCTTTCCATCACATGCCGTTTGGACTCAAGCATGATTACAACAGACGGACTTCGTTAAATCACTATACATTTTATGGGGTGTTACAAACAAAATGACAAATTTAATATTCCCTCCTTTCCATGGTGGAGAGTATATATAATATAGCAACCATTCCAATTTGTTCCATTAAAAGTTTGAAGACCAACTTAACATTTCACAATTTATTAAATTTTCCTAGCAATTTTGATTAGAAATTATTATTTTCATTATCGGACGTTGGTGTTGCGCCAAAGAATTTCTCATATTCCTCCTGGCGCTTTTTGGCTCTGGCCTCCCGCTCCATTTGGCGTTTCTTGGAAAAGCGTTGATGTATGCGTTTCATTTCCTGCACCTCTTTCATTTCCTCTTTGTCCTCATCCTAGAAGAAGAAGAAAAAAATATGAATTCCTTCTTTGAATAGAAATTTCAGGACCTCAATTCTTTTTTTTTTTTTTTTGTAAGAAAATGTGAAATTTTTTAAAGAAAATATTTCTCATTTCTTATTTTCATAGAACAAGAATGCAGCCCCAGGCACTTGATTCTGAAATCCGCATTAAAATTCATCTCAACTTACACTCATATTTAAACGCAACACCAAAGCCCTGCGTCCATCCGACATCGGTTGTGAATACTGCATGAAATTCTTCAAACGCTCTGCCGGTGGCACACTACGTTCCACAACCAAAACAATGCGGGCCCATTGGCGCTGCCATTCATTGCGTATCTCGGCAATCTTCTGATACGTATTACCCATCATGGCAATCAACATGTTAACCAGCAACACACTGACGATCACCATAAAAAGGAAGAATAAAATTTTCGCTTCATATTCATGTTGCGTCGAACCCATGGCCCCGTAATAATCACCGAAATTTGTCAGGGACATTAGAAACATGGCCACCACTGATTCCATGGGCGATGGCATGGGATTTGTGCCGGTATCATCAATTTCCTCCGGTGTGGCAGGATTATCGAAGGTCAAAAAGATAATGTAATAGGCCTGGGAAAAGCCCATCACAAAGACCAAATAAATCGATACGAAACGTATCAAATCTCCCATAACCATGCGATAGATCATCACAACGAAGGGACCAACGGTCTTGAAGCCTCTGGAATGAATATAAATTGAAGTTATTTTAATTCATAATCGTATTGATGTTGTCCAGCTTACCGACAAAAGAACAAAAAGTAGGGAGCCGTGGTAAGCATTATCATCACCGCCACATGATCATCCAGTTCGGTGAGACAGGATAGCCTTAGCCAGGGTATGGTCATCATTAGGCAGCAGGAGAACAAGAACATGACCCTTGAGGGTGCCGTCATCTAGGAAAAAATGATTATTAATATGGGCCAAATCAGGGCTAGACAAAGAGATAAAATGTAGGTCCCACATATTTATTGTGGTTCTGTTTTCATAACTCTTTCATTTTCTGAGTCATTTTTTATTGCCAATTCACTCTCGTTTACTTTGGGTTCTTGAACAGCATTTGGTAGTCTTTCGTACACACCTATCTTTCCTAATACTACTCTCATTGCCCCGCCTTGGAGTAAGGCTGAATGTCCACAACTACTTACCAGATTTTCAACAAACATTTTATAACCCAAAAACTTGGCCTCTCTCAGGGCCGATAACAAATACAAAATCGCTCCAAAGAAAATTACGATTTCGGACACAATGCGGAACTGTAAAAACAATGGAAAATAACAGCGATTAACATTACCTCAAGATTTCCAGTAAAACATTCAAATTATTACCTTTGCCAAATTCGTTTCCATATCCATCAGGGGACACTCCTCATAGCTTGCCCACCAGGAGGGCATATTTTCAGCATTAGCATCATCATCAATGTACTCACTAAAGTTAAGCCAAAATGTTTCTAAAACAAGGAAATCATCCGGTAATTCATTCATTTAAAAAAAAATAGTATTGGACCTGATTTATTCTCCACTTACTGTAGGGTAACTTTTCAATGCCTGTTACTCTACTGGCAGGTGTGGCATACAAAAGTCTGGCATTTGTGGTAGAATCATTTCCTTTACCCGCCGAATCATTCGCATCCCCCTCCTCATCTTCATCCTCAATTTTGGGTCCTGGCCGGGATATAAAACTCACCAAGGAGAAGAGGAAATAGAAGGAAAACATATAAAACTGTTTGTAGAAACGGGACTTGACAAATGTTTCCCATTTCGTTTTAAGCAAATCAATGACCACGCCATCCAACAACTCCAAATGTTCCAATTTGTCCTGGGAATAAAAAAATATTTAAAATTGTTTTTTCAAAATAACAAAATCCTTACCCCAAACACCACAAAATTCAACACCGAATCCTTGTTTATATTCCCAGTCTTAACATCAATGGTATCGATTTTTGACAAAGGATATGCGGCACATGTTATGCTACCCAACTGCCAGTAAATTTCCCTCTCTATACTCAAAATGTGGAAAAACATTTCCACCCGCGCCAACTTGGCCGCCAATGTCAGGGGTGTAAGATTTTGTACATTCCGTATGTGGATATTGGTGCCAACCTCATAGGCCACATCGAACATGTCGATTTTCTCATAGATCACCAACATATGCAACACGGTATTGCCATTGGTATCTTGGCTATCGGGATCAGCACCACGGGCCAACACCAAACGAAAACATTCTTCCTGCGATAAACAGGCTGCAAATGACAGTGGATATTCACCCCAATAAACGTAGCCATCATAATTGGTCATGGGATGAACACCAACATATTCATGTTCGGGGGAGTCATATCGCGAAGCCTTTTGATCTTCGGCCGACATAAAGGCACCACAGCATCTGTAGGGAAACCACAAAAATAAAATTTGGGAATATAACATAATTACTCTCTTCTTACCTCTCCTGGACATCGGCATTGGCATCCAATAGATATTTCACCATTGCCGGATCCTCGTTCACAATGGCAATGTGTAACACCGATTCTCCATAGTATTCATCGCTCAAGTAAATATCCATAATGAGTTTGGGATAAAATTTCAATAGCCTCTTGGCCAAATCCGCATGCAACGAGGAGGCATTGAGCAGGCACAAGTGTAGAATTGTTTCACCCACAGCACCTCTTTCCTGTAAAATGGAAAATGCAAACAAAATTAACTTTGTTTTCCTTTTGTTTTAAATCTCTCTCCTTTAACTTACATTCAAATTCCAACAAACAAAACGATAGGCACTCGGATTGGATATGTACTCCGCCTCCGACACCTCGGAACAGTAGTCGTGAATATTGAAATCTTCATCGGGATTTTCAAGGGCCCGTATTTCAGGCAGTTGTTTCGTGCGTGCCCTCTCCTTGTTGCGTAACAAAACCATTTTCGAAATCGGAAAATAACGACCAGCTCCTTTGTTATAGAGAAATGGTTCCACCTTGGTTTTAATGGCATGATCTATTTCGGCGAATTGTTTCGTTTGACAGGCCCTTTTCATCATGTCCACCAGAAGGCCACCACCCTTTAGATTGACAAATTTGTACAGGGCCTGGGTGGAAACTCCCGCCTGTTTCTTGACACCACTGGTAACATTACTTTCAGTATTTCCCATGATGACCGACCAATGTAAGAGCAATTCAATTCATCAGTTTAGGGATCGAAAAATCTCCAAATGCTATAACATTTCCAAAGAAAATCTGCAAATTTTACACTACTCTACTTTTTCAAAACTGTTTATTTCAAGCGTTTGTTTATTTCTCAAGTTTTGGTTACTAACATCATCGATTAAACAAATATTTAGGATTTTTTTTCGTTCTGTTTGGTTACCATGCTAACAAATGGCAATGCTATTCCATGAACTTGACCTGTTTGTTTTGCGGGGATTACAACTCTAAGGGATTTTTTTCGGACGGCGGTAAATTTGAAAACTTAAATGTTAACTTGTTACAGGTGTAAGAGCATTGCCAGCACAATGAATCCCCAAAGCATTGATGAATAAATAGGTGAAACGTCACTGATCTTAAATTGTCCTCCAAATTTGCTTCATAGGTGAAAGGACTTGAAACAAATTTTTGGCAAAAACTGATAAATCGTGTCATTTTATGGCTAGGAACAAATTATATGCATTCCCAGGGTCTTAAATATGTCCCTCACAAAGGCTTAAATAGTTAAAACGAGAAGGTATCCAACCAAACACTCAACTCTCAAATAAATATAGCAAACATTTAATATTATATAGTTTGTTTATTGAAGAAAATCATTGCACAATAATAATAATAATAATAATAATAATAGTTTTTATTTATGTATTGCGCATTTTGTTGTGTACATGTTCTTGTTCTTGACTGGTTTTTCCGTTTTTGTGAATTCAAATAATAAGAAGAAGTTTCTTGTTATCTGCTGGTTGATTGATGCAAAAACGACTGAATAAAGTATACACGTGTACGAATGTATATATTGTTAATACTTTTCTTTAAATATATAGTTATATAAATGGGAAGTATGGGGGGAGAGTAAATATTTTTGTATATAATCTCATGGGGGTTTTAATTTTTATTATTAATACAGAGTAAACATAATAAATTACCCTTAATAACTCCCATTATTGTTTTATTTTTTTTTTTTTGGAAATTAGATTGGCGGCTGCTCTTGAAGTCACATTTTAACTGGAATATTGAAATTATACACTATTTAAATATTTGATTACAAACAAACGCTTAAAAATTACCATAAACGCTAAGCGTTCATCTTATTTTGTATAATAGATAGATTTGTGATAGCATAACAAATAATAAGAGAGAGAGATAGAGTTGAAAAAAGGAAGTTAACAGGACGCAATGTTAAAACTTAAGGACGTCATAAAAACACATAATAATAGAATACATTATTACATCATAAAATACAACTTTAACAAAACAATACAAAATGATATGATTCCTTGTTTTTTTTGTTTCGTGCAATCATAATAAAGATTAACAAATGAAATTAAACCAATAGATGATTGGCACCAATGGTTTACAAACTGTCACAATGCTAGCTGTGGCGATAAATGATTACTTCTGATGTGGTGATTAGTTGCTGCTGATTTTTGTTCTCCTTTTAAATACTTTTGTGTGAATACTTATGTGTTGGTGTTACCAAAAAAACTGGTGATTGCTAGTTATTGCTTATTATCAGAAGATTTTGTTTACGGTATAAATTTGGAATTTGTTTTGTAAGTTATTTGTTTTTCATTTTCTCTGCTACTACTTGTGGTTTTCTTTGTAAAGAATAAAATGTTGTAAATTCCCTTATATTTAGTCTATAATTTCGACATAATTTGCCGGAAACAGTCCATAAGTGCCATCTGGTCCAAGACCTTGCCACCAACCCTCATCGATTTGGTCAATGTGGGTGATGACATCTCCAGGATCAAAGGTGATTTCGGTTTCATCAGCTAAAAAAGGAGTAATAAATTGCTTTCTCTCATTGTCACAGTTTTCAAATGAAATACAAACCTGCCTGATAGTCGTACAAAGCACGGGCCCTCAAACCCAAATCACCCAAGGTGTCTTGGCATATAAAATCATCTTCATTGACCAGATCATTAACTGAAATTAATTAAACAATTATTTAAAAATGTCTTGTAATCGAATACTTTCTCCATCTCACTTTCATTTCTATCCATGTAACCATTCTTGGCGGTCGACGTTGGTGCCTGTGACTGTGATTGTTGCACAGTGACGGAGACCTTTGTGCGCACCACCTCCTCTTCTTCGTCTTGGTATAAAGCTGTATCGGTATTATTTGACGATGATGTATCATCTGGTGATTGCAGTGAATTTGACTTGCTATGCGGTGATCGTTTAATGGTGGAATATTGTTCAGTATCTGGCTCCAGGGGATAATCATCGATGTTATGGTTATCATCATCATTATTTGCAATTGCTGTGATTTCCGGCTTTACCGGTTCCAAGGGACTGTGGACCGGTTCAATGTGTTCAACCTTAACCACAGGGGGCTCCGTAATTATTGGAACAGTTTTCTCCGGGGCCTTAACCTCTTCAGCAATTATTGCCTGTTTGGGTAAAGTAATTTTGCCTGGTAGTGGTTGCTGTGCTACTGGGGTGCTTTCCGCTGGCTGCTGAGGCTGATTAAAGGCATTAATGCGTTGAGCAATGGAATTACGTGCTGGCTTGGCTGGGGGTGCTGTATTAAGTCTGAAATTGAAAATAAATTTAGATCGGCCCTCTTCAAAATATCTTTTGAAATCAACTTACTTGTTGATTAATTGACCTTCACTGGTGTGCTTGGTAAACATGGCCTTGGCTGCTCCTACCCGAGAGCCTATGAGCTCTTTGGCTTCTTGACTGCGCTGTTGTCGCATGCGTTCGGCCTCTGTCAATGCCGAACTGGGCATGGTCTTCTCAGGGCTCAAAGGTTGTGGTGATCTAAAAAAGGATATATTCTATTGAAATAAGTATTGCAATCCCAACGTTTAGTCCATGCCTACGTTTTAATAGGTACATGAGCCGGCTGCAATTTATTGTTCATTTGCAATTTCTTTTCTCTTTCCAAATGTTCCTTTTCCTCGCGGGCTCTTTGCTCTTTTTCCAGTTTGGCTTGTTCCATTTCTCGCTGCTGTTTCTCGGCCTGTAGGCGACGCTTTTCCTCCTCTTCCTCTTTCTTCCAAAAATCTTGCATAACTGTTGGATTCAGTTCCTTTGTGGGTATCACCCTTGTATAGTTGGTGCCAATGGGTGTCCTTTGCTCCTCTTGCATAGTACGTGGCTCTTTGAAGCTATACGCCGAACTAACTGTGCTCAGTTTCTTGAGCAAACGTTCCAAATCAATATCATCTTCATTACGGGCATTTATTGTTAAATGGGCTCCCGAAAGTACTTTGGCCACATCACGTATGTGATTTGCACAAGTGCCTTTGCGCAGCACTGGGGCACCTTCTCCCTAAAAAAGGATAATTTGAAAGCATTATTTACGACTCCTTTATATGGTATAACTCATTTATTTTTCTCACCTGCCAATTGATCAAGAGGAACTTTTTCAAACCCGTTTTGGGATCTTCTATGCGAACAAAGGCATACATAATTTTCCCACTGTTCAAATCTTCGCATAATTCTTCCACACCGCCTTCCCCACTGCTTACCAACTTCAAGTCATTGCTCTGTCCCTCGTATCCAAACAAAGCCCTATAAAAACGATCAGCATTAAAAAGCCAGCTCACATTGTGTTCATTGATATGCAAATTTTGTTATCGGGGAGTGCCCCTCTACGCTGCGCTGTCATACATACCAATCTGTTGGCGATTTGTCATCCAAGACTTCTTTCCATGCTCTTTCAATTTCTGGCCGATGTTTCTCGAAACTAATGGCCATTCTTGCAAGTGAAAGATAAGCACTTTGTTTGCTTTGCTATTGTTTCTGCTCCTCTCTCGCCAAAAGACCAACTAACACAACGCGGCAGAAAGTAAACGACCTTGAGTCAATGCACAGCCACCTGCTTTGATGCACACCGCGCTCCGGCAAGTCGATGACAAATTTCCTATTATGATTTTGATGAAAATATAAAGTTTTTCCACACGCTTTCACCTTCACACGCGTCTTGCATGTGATAAAGATTAGTTTTCAGTCAGTAGTCAATGGCTTTTTATGCGCTGACTTTCTGTCGCTGCTGTTTTCAATCTCCAAAAAAAAACAACGAAAAAAGGAACCTCTCTATGCACGAATTACAACAAAAAACTCCTTAGGCTGTATAAAGGCTTAGGAATTTTGTAAATAGCCCGAAAATACTGCGTTCTCTTCTAAAATCTCTTATCTATTTTCACAGGAATTATTGATTATTCACTAAATTTTTATAAAAAAATAAGTTTTGCTTCCAGTTCCAAGTCAATTCATGTCCACTTCTGAAAACACTCACACAACTTGGATTAGTCATGACGTATGTTCTGAAGTAACGTACTCAAGATAAGAACAACAAATGGGAGTTCAATTAGTGTGGATGGTAGCGTATGACAGAATTCAAACAATTTAACGTAAATGTTGGTAGTGCAGATTCACAGTTTTCAGCTTTGATATATAACTAATGCTGAAAGAGACATGTTGCTTAATTGCCGTTTACACAACACATAGTTGTTGGATAGTTTTTTTTAATGCCTAACAGTTTCTGGGACAGTTGTTGCTAACCATGTTTGATATTGGAAATTAATTTGTAAAAAAGAAACAGAGGAAATATTGTAAAAAACAAAAAAATATGTAGTGGAGGGAAAAATAAAAATGAAGAAACAATTCGAACATTTAAATAGAAAATATTAAAATTTATAGCGATTTCTTTGATCAACACCATGGTAGAACTAAGAAGGTAAAGTCATGTAATCACATGTTTACAATTTTTTTTTTTCATTTTTAAACATTTGACAACATCTCATTTTCAGAATCTAAATTCATAAATTCATTGTATACACACAAAATCAGAGATGGAAACTGTTTTGTATGTAGTAAAATTTAACAAAGTAAATTACAAAAAAATGCAGGGTTGGGAAAGTTCATTTGAAATCAGATTACCCTTATTTCATTGTGCCATGGATCAACACACATTTTCATTCATGCTTTACATGTGCTGTGTTTAGTACATCTTTAGTGGTAAAACAGGTAAAAGACGAAGAACGGAACAAATTTTAATAGTTAAGTTTTAAAACATATGTATTATTATAAAACATATGTATTATTATAACTTGCGCTGTAATTGACAATAATGTTACTGCTAGAGCTTTAAGTTCTAACGTAATTGTCCACATATAGATCAAGGTAACCTAATTTCAAATTATAATATCCAGAGGCTGGATTCTTGTTCTATGAAAATATTAAATGAAAAATATCTCCCTTATAATATTCATGGTAGAATTAAGAAGGCAAAGTCATGCAATCATATGCTTACAATTTTCTTGACAACATTTCATTGTAAAAATTTATATTCATAAATCCATTGTAAACAAACAAATCAGAGATTGGAACCTGTTTTCTTTGCCATG